AATCTGAAATTTAAACAAGAAAAAGCATTTATAATATTATTTTATTATTCTTAAACATATTCGAAACGAAAATAATTTTATTTAAATAAAATTGATGGAACTATTTGAGATCACAAAGAATGATTTAATTATGTATATATTTGAACTAATAAATTTTCTCGTCTCCCATCTTCTTGGTTTTATGAATATTCTCATATTTCAAATATTTTAATATTCTGCAATTTGTTAGTTTAAGTTTGGTGCAAAATTTATCGATTACAAAATATTTCGAGATTTTGAAATCTTTATATTTTGGTATTTTGAGATTTTATTAATTTAAAGTTTGGTGTAAAGTTCGATGTTTTGTAAGTCATTTAATCAAGTCACTTCAAATCAATCGAATGATATTAATTATACCGGAATTAGTGATAATTAGGTAAAATGAAAATTAAATGAATTACGAAATCAGTAATTACTTATTACGTATTCATCGTCAGCAAATTTCAAATAAATCAGATGATAATAATTAATAGTACTTTAATTAACTAATCTGTCCTTTTGAAATTACAAAAAGATTATTTTGCATAATTCTAATTTTAACAATTTTAAAGCTGTAATGAAATTTGGTTGTGAAATGGGTTGTCATAAGATTGAACATTTATGCAAAAATGGTGGCCATTGTTTGGTACAATGGGCAGCGACAAAAAGCGCCGAAAATGTTGTTAGTTGTAATTGCGCCCGAACATCGTATTATGGTGAATATTGTGATGAAGGTATGTATATATGTATATATATATAATATATATGGATAAACTTTCTTTTCTTTTTTTCTGACCTATGACCTTGTTTAATTTTTTTCTCATTGGATAAATAATTTCTTTTATTTTCAGATGATGGAGCATATTTTGCTGGTAATTCAATATTAGTATTAAATACGGCTGAAATATTTGAAAAAGTAATCGTTAATTGGAATGAAATTGATGAGCAAACATTCAGTTTTGCATTTTCTACAACATATACGGCAAAATCGACAAAACTAGCAAAGCCACAAATACTTACAACAATTCATTTTAAGCACAACAAGTTTGTAAAACGTGAAATTTTTATTTCCCTCACATTTATTCATCATTTACTAAATGTCCCATTTACATTTAGTGTTATGATGTAAGTATGCCATATGCTACGTCTTTCACTTACGTAAGTATGCCATATGATACGTTTATGGCTTACATAAGCATGTATATATTTTTACAGCAGCGATTGAAGAATCTATCATAGATTTTGTATGTTCAAATATAATTCATTAATTAAATATTTCACCTGTTATCACAGGTGCATTGAAACAAATGACATATTACGTTTAAGGTAGGTTTTTTTTGGATTTTTTTGTCGTTTTTTAGGATGTTACAAGTAATATTATGCAAAAATGGTTCAATAAATATTGCCATAATGTCAACTGATGTGTCATTTGTTCACACATTTCCATATAACTACAACGATGGTTACCGACACTATTTTCACTCAAGATTCCGCCCTAATAAATCATTGAAAGTGACGGTGAGACATTTAAGCATTTCGCATTTCTTTACTTTTAATTTTAATTTATAATATTATTGGTAATTTAAATTTATATGTAATTTAGCAATGGATTATCTCTGATAATAGAATTAATTGCTTAATTAATGATGATTGTCGACTTTTCGATGGTTTCATTTGTTCCTTTTTTTTAAATTAATATAAGAAAGATACCTAATAAAATCTTGATAAACTGATAAAATGTTGATAAACCGACAAAATGTTTTTATCAACTTACAAATTTCAGATTGATTCATGGAAATATGATTTGCCATCAGATCTGTCAACAGATTTGTCGCTTTCATATGCGATTAAATTTTCTTTCGGTGGACCATACATTACAGATATTTCAGATGTGACAAAAGACGATAAGAAAACATTAAAGTACAATTATACTGGCTGTTTGTCAAGTGAGTTTTAAATTTAATATTAGGTTGATAAATTGAAAAATGGAAAGAAATAATAAATATTTTGAAGTTGATAGAAATTTTTGCAAAAATTAAAAATAATAAATATTTTGAAGTTGATAGAAATTTTTGCAAAAATTAAACAAATCCTGAATACAGAAATGTGAAATTCGGTCATTTTTTTTTAGTTGCCAGACATTGATAGTGCTGTTTATTATAAAAATAGTTGCTATTGATGTTTGCTACTTCACATAAGGCATCAGATTCCACGTTTGCTTTAACGTCGACAAACGTGGAATTAAATGCCTTCTACGAACTTGCAAATGTGGGTGCATGCAACCTTAGCCTACTGCATTGTTACAAACTTTTTAATTTTGAATTTGCTGAATCAGTGTCAATCGTTTAATACTTCGCCAGTATTTTCATTAATTTTATTGGACATCAATTATCAATAATTTTGAATAGATTAAAGTGTGACAAATTATGGATAACCATCAATACTAAAAAATCATGCAGAAAAAGACAACGTTTTAGTCTATCATATAATTAAGAAGTCTTTGATAAATTAAAACTAATATTTTGATTTTATGCAAATTTTTGACAGAACAAGATAAATTCATCTTTGTGATAAATTAAATTTTCAGATATTGATATTGACGTAAATGTCGCACGTATGCATCTTAAGCCAATTTCATATTTGCATAAACCAGAACTTGAATTTGCCGAATCAGTAACAATTGTTGGTAATAAAATTCAACTTGGAGCATGCAATGCATTTTTAATTCCTGGAAGTTTACCATGTAAGAATTTTACATTATCTCAATTATCTTCTTCTTCTTAATTATTTCGGAATTATCTCCTCTTTTCCATCCTTCTATCATTCTTACAGAGTTAATTCTAATTACGGTATAATTTTTTCAAGTGCAGTTTTAGGTAAGAAAATTACTATTCCTTAAATTAATTAGCTGATTGATAACCTTTATTTATGACCACTAATACTGTCATGATTTTAACCAAAATTTCGACTATTTTCAAAATAACATGAAATAATTGAAAAAAGTAATTAATTAAAATGTGATATTCTAAATTGTTTATAAATGATGAAATATTAAATATGCAAAAAAAAAAGAAAAATACTAACTATATTTATCAATCGGTTTAACTAAAAACTGAAATGATTGATTTCAATGGTAAAAAATTTTAATAAATTAAAAGTTAAAAAGTAAATAGGAGCA